AAAAATAATTTCTATACCGTGTGAGATTTTAGAATCTCCACAAACATAAAAAGAATTAATTTTAATGTGAGATTTTGTGAATCTTCATAGAAATTTCAATATATTTTTTTAAAAAAATCTTTTCTCAAATAAGGGGATAAGTTTTTTTTTTTTCAAATTAAAAGATACCAATCCAATTAAAGACCTTTTTAAAAAATAAAAGTTTCTTTTCTAAAAAATACTAACAAACTGACAAACATTTGAATGACTTCAACATTCCAGCTGGAAAACAAATAGTAGATGGCGTACTTGACATATCTCTAGACGCAAGGGATGATCAAGACGACCACCTGAGGTCAATAGCGAAATTGCTTCGAGAGAATCAATGTGACATTCAGCATTCATGTCTTGATGTTGCTTACCAAGTAATCCCTGTTCAATGGCAAGAAGTTCAGCAGCCGTGGGAGGAAGGGAACCCAATTTCTGTTGAAAACCTATGACCCAATGCCCCTTGAGAGTTTCTAATGACTCCCCTACCGGAGGCTTGACCATGTTGTCTCACCGAACCATGAACTTCCAATCGAAGGCGCTCACTTGGTGGAGGGGTCCATTTGTCTTAGGGAAGTGAAATGCCTGGGAAAACTTGATGACAAAATTTTCCATTAACTACCATTTCCATGAGTTGGTTCCGAACACAATGAAAAACTCTTTCAACAATGTCATAACAACTCTGATCTCCAAGGCTTGTTCCAACATTTTTCTATTATTTCTTTTAACTTCACCCATATATTTCATTGATGAGTTCCATTCATCTTTACTTTTATTCCTTAATTATTTTTTTCACAAGTTTCAATACAGTTCAGATTTTAAAAAATAAGAATAATTTTTTAAATAAACTTATTAGAATTTATTATTTTTTGTGCATGAGAAAGAAAACCTTGTGATGGTCAGTAAATAATTAGGAAGGAAGTGGGAGCCATTGGACATGAGATCTTTAACTTCATTATCAATTATTCTTTCTAAGATGGATTCCTTAAAATGATTTTGTTTAAAGTAAGGAAAAATAAACACAAAAAGATAACTATGGTAAGTCTCCCTTGTGTGAAATTCGTATCATGTCAAAATTAAAAGATCACCATTGTGTGGCTATCTTTTTCTCTACTTTAAATGAAGTTAATTTAAGGATCCTAATTAATTTCCAAGCAATTATTTTCGTGAATAGCTGTGTTAGATGTGACATGGATGCCGCTTTAAGCTATTATACACACACATACCCACACACCCAACTCATTATGTTAGTGATATTAGTAGCGGCCGACCTAGAAAAATTAATTAGTGGAGAAAAACTTTATATATAATATAAATATTAATTTTCTTAAAGAAATATAATTATAATGATAAAATTTATCAAATTTAAATACTAAAGTAACAATTCAAACATTATATAACTATCATAATAATATAAAAATAAATTATATTCATATAAGCAAAATTCACTGTAAAAGTGATAGAATATGTATTAACTATTTAGAATCATATGCATTTAGTTCATCAAATAAAATATTAATTATTGATTTTGTACGGTAATGAAATTATTTTTTATACAATTTTCAATACAAACAATTAAAGAAAGTTATTTTATATTTTATTACTAGGTTCTATTTTAGTAAGAAATGTAATGTATGTTCAGAGAGAAGTCATGAAATGGAATCAATTTTTCATCTTGCGGATTGAAAAGTAATATTTTCTTAAGCGCATTATATCAAAATTTCTCCTTTTTAGTGGCCTATGACATAATTCCGCCCTTGCTTAGATTTCAATATTATTATAATTATTATCTATTTTTATAGAATATAAACTTAAATTTAAATTTAAATCCTTAAAGAGTTTGTAATAAAATAAAAATAAAAATAATTTATAAAAATAATTTGATAAATGAAATTAGGATAATCAATAATTTTTTATATAAGTATATTTTTAACTTTCTTATCTGTTTAAATTTTTAAATATAAAAGAAATTGAAGAATGGAAAGTTATTTTTTTGTAAATATATTTTCGAATGATAAAACATGGATAATTTTAAGAAACAAAATTTTCTTATCAGAATATATAATTTTGGTAAAAAAATAAAATATATTTGATTTTTTACATTTTAAAAAAACTCAGAAGAAAATAGCTTATCTTTTTTCAAATATATGTAATTCAAAGATAAAACTAAAATTAAATACCAATCTCATAATTTAAAAAAATAATATGACATGGTTTTTCCCTATTGCCTAATTGAAAAATACGAGGCAACATGTGAAAAATCGTTGCCTAAATAAAACTTATAATGCAACCGGACAAAAACTGTTGCCAATTTTTGAGGCAACTTATTAAAAACTGTTGTCTATTTGATAAATATGAGACAAAAATGTGAAAAACTGTCGCCTAAACCCTAATTAAAACTTATGATGCAACGGGTAATGTTGTCATATATTTGTTACCTAAAGTAAAAATTAAATGATACACTAAAAAAAGTGTTGCCTACTTTTAGATTAGGAAGCGCTTTTTTACCTGTTGCAAATATTGGTGAGATGGGAGGGGAGTGATTTTAATGAAAAGAAGGTGAGGGATTTAATATTATCTTATTTAGTTTAAGAGAGAAGGGAGAAAAATATTTACATATAAATAATTTTACCTTCGTTTCATTAATGTTGAGATACTAAAAAATGTACCTATATTTTTTAAATTTATTATGAATAACATATTGGATAGGGTATGACAAATTTTATCCCTCCCTTCTCAATCTCCCAATTTATAGGGGAGGGGAGGGAAAATTTTAAAACTCTCTCTCTCTCTCTAGCTAGTTTTGATCAATGGCAAAGCTAAGGGTGCAAAATAATTCAATAAAAACTTAATATTTTCTTAAAAAATAATAATTATGTTAAAATTAAAATTATAATGATATAAATAAATTTATCATTATTTTTTATTTTAAAAAATTATATTAAATGTATTAATATAATCTTTTATTATAAATATGTTCTTAATATTTTATTTAAATTATTAAAATATTATATATTTAATAAATTTTTAAATATAAATATTTTTTATTTAATTTAAAAAATATAAAATATTAAAATTAAAAGATGTGAAGTTGTAAATTTTATATATTTTATTATAATTTTTTTTTAAAATAAGAGAGTGTATTTGCATCCCCAAGCCAGCATGACTCTGCCATTGGTTCTGACAATACCTACGCGCCGTACGTTAAACCGGGAGAACTTTAAAGAGAAACAAATTAATTCAAATCAAGTGAAGAAAAAGACGTTTTTGGGTGAAACTTGTTACACCAACTGTTCATTAATTATCAAAGGTCGAAGTCAATGCGTCTAATTAATAATTAAATTGATACTTCATTCATTTTTATTTATAAAAAATTATTATTTTTTATATAAATAAAATTAATTATTTTAATAAACATCTATTATATATTTTTTAAATCATCTCTCATAATTTACATTAATAAAAAATAATTAATATATATTTATATTGATTAATATAGAATATTTTAATTTATTTTTTATTTTTAAATATAATTATTATAATTAACTAATTTTTTTTAATTTTTTTTTTTTACGTGTAGAAACGGAGGGAGTACAGTTTCTGGCTGCTTGAATCCAAGGGTGTCCGTGGTTTAGAAAATTCAATTCTGACAACATTAATCTCCCAACAAACATTTCAGAACAAGCCATGAAAAGCCAGCCGGAAACATCGTTCGTAAATGAAATGACATGTATTTAACCTAGGTTCGAAAACGAAAGATCAGAGTTGTTGCGTGGAATGACAGTTCATGGTTGAAGATTTGCGTTGAATGACGGAACGTGTCGATGTTTCAAATTAATTGAGGATCAAAGCAAGGCATGGGCCACATAGGCATTCATCCAAAAATTAACAAAATTTCCGATTGGGTGGGAGAAACTTCGTTACATACTCAACTACTAGTATGAAGGAGAAACCTTTCACCATTGTTACAGAGAGGTGGGGTATATGAGAGAGAGAGAGATCCACAAAGAATAAATCTAACCATATTGAAACAAGTTGAAGTTTTGTAAATTTCATTTGTGTAATCTTCTTAAAATAATTGACATGCAGCATGGAAGAAAATGAATCCATGCAAAAAACCTATTTAAAAAATTAAACATGGAAGAAAATTAAAGACAGAATCATGATGCAAATTATATCACGTTCAAGTAATAAGGAAAATCACATTGACGTCTGACTAAGTGCACATAAGAAGAAGATTTGCGCCTTTACATAATTATATGAGAAAAATTTGTGTACTTACCTTTATATGTTAAGGAATTTGTTTTGAATTTAAACAAAACATGTGAATTTTTTTTAAATTATTTATTTTATAACAAATTATTATTATTGATATTATTAATACATTAAAGTTCACTTGTCAATCTTTATTTAATTTGATAAGAGTATATTAATTTTATAAAACTAAATACAAAAGTCTTATCGTAATTATATTATTAATCATTAATTAGCTTGGCTAAGTCGAAATACAGAGGACTCAAGTACATTAATTAAAATGAATAAATCTTTGTTAATATTTCATAAAATTGATAAAATTAAATATATAACCCAACCAGTAGTGAGGACATCAATGACCTGCACCACCGCTCTTCTCTTTATCCCAAAAAAAAAAAAAAAATAGTGAGGATCGGACAATGTCCCACAGACTCATGAGGATACATAACCAATCTTAAGGTACTGATCGTGATCAATCAACAAAACCTCAAGCTGTTTCACAAATACGATAACAATCCCAAGAGTACTCCTAGGGATCAACATGATAAGAGAGTACTGAACCAATAACTAAGACTCCCTACACATCTTATTCATAAGCTAAGACCCCTTATATATAACAGGCCCACTAATAACGAAACTGTGTGATTAGCTTATAAAAAATAACTAACTAATCACATTTGACCAATTCAATATTTCCATTAACTAATTAGTTTCACAAACTAATTAACTGCTAGGCAGTAAGACGGGAGAGCTAGCAAGTGATTAGCTCTTGTAATTAATAGGCCAAATTTCTCAGTCATATCCAACTCATCAGGAGAAATGCTCTGTGGAAGTTCCCAGTTAAAGCAATGTACCAATTGTGCTATCACAAATTTCACGGCAATTAAACCCAAATGCATACCAGGACATCCTCTTCGACCTGAACCAAATGGTGTGAGTTGGAAGTCCTGTCCTCGAAGATCAACATTGCTATTCATGAACCTCTCTGGATAAAACGCTTCAACGTCATCCGACCATATTTTTGGATCACGTCCTATAGCCCAAACATTCACAATGACTCGTGAATTCTTCCTTATATAATATCCATTGATTGTTATATCCTCCATGGTGACGCGAGGGAGCAGTAATGGCACAACAGGATGCAGTCTAAAAGTCTCTTTGATCACCATGTCCAAGTAAGTCAACCTCTGCAAATCAACCTCCTCGACCAATTTTGTTTTTCCGACAACGTTTTCCAGTTCACATTGGAGTTTTTTCATTACCCTTGGATTCTTCAAGAGTTCTGAGAAAACCCACAAACTGACAGTGATGGAAGTGTCGATTGCACCAGAGATCAAGTCCAAAAGTATGGCCTTCATATTGCTTCGATCTTTGACAGGGTTTTGGTCATCGTCATGAGAGTCTAGGTAAGAGAGTAATATGTCAACGAAGTCCTTGTGTTCCCTGATCTGCAATGCTTGTTCCTCTTCGTGCTCCTTAATGATCGTTTCTAACATCTCATCAATTTCCTTCCCATTCTTCTCTAAGCGTCTTGTAAGACCCTGAATCATAGCCAGTTGGTTACTTTGGTTACCAATAATAAATTCTTTGTAAGATTATGTTGCTATTTTTTTTTTTGGCAAGACATTGTTGGTATCTTGACACGCAAATATTTGGCTTGTAAGCGCTGTAGAAGATTTTGATTCTGGGGCCGGGACACAGAACAAATATACATGCAACGGAGAAAGAAAAATAAAATATAGCTTAATAAAATTTATTGCAAAGCGGTAATAATTTTTTTTAAATATTAATGTATTTTTTGCGTTAATAAAAATTAGAATTTTATCAACAAGTGAAAATGAAGTCGTCCACTTATGAAGAAACTTTGTACCCTGCATATATCCTACTTCATGGACAGATTTGCGCGTTAATATATGTATGGAATATAGTTAATTTGCCACATGTTTCAGCATTATTATTACTGAACAAGGGCTAGGTTGATAAGGAGTTTGGTTTTGGTGCTCATGTGGAACGTTCAGATTTTAAAATTTTATTTTTTTATATTTTTGTTTTATATTTATTATAAAAATTATAAAATTTTAATAAATCTATCTTATCATTAATTTGGATAATACAAATTTAATCTGAATTTAAAATTTTTAAGTTATAACTTTTTTTATATTTTAAAATGCTAGTTTTAAGATTATCTTTATTGTTATTTTTTAATATTATATTTATTAATACATTAAAAATTTAAAAAATTATTATTAAATACAGACGATCTAGAATGTATATGGATAGTCGATTTATAAAAAATACAAAAAATTTTAATATTAAATTAAACTATCTAAATTAAATTTATATTGTTTAAATTGATGATAATATAGATTTATTAAATTTTTATAATTTTTTTATAATAAATATAAAATAAAATCTTAAAATCTGGAATGGACGGTCCAGATGCTCAGTGATGAGCACCTAAATACACTGCTCCTTAATAAGGCTTCTTTTTTACCATATATTGTAGGACAATATAATGCTCCTTTTAGTTTACTTTTATTACATGTGAAGTATTCTTACTTGCATCTTTCTCTGGCGTGCATGTATCCTACCGTTTCGTTTTCATTGAAAGTTGATTTATTACCAAAAAAAAAAAAACGAACAAGGGATGGGTTTAAGTATTATAAATTAAAAAGCCATATTAAAAGAGAGAACATGCTGACTTAGAATGCATGGTATATTAACACCTAATTCAAGTTGGTCGATTAAACCAGTATATTGATGAACCGGTTCTCTGATCAATTTGATCAAGAGTTTTGGACGGGTTGACTAGCTAGATTGAATTTTACATTTGTTTCTTCCCTTGTCGAGCATGAATGACATCATTTTGCATTTAAAAAAAAAAAAAAAATAACAATTTGTTGTATTTGTACTTTAGCAACTATGTTTTGTTAATTATGCGTATTTTATACATAAATGTCTCATTTACTTGGGGATTATTAATGCTTTTTTTATTTAAACATGACTCTTTTTAAGTTTACATATGATATTTTTTTATTTAATTTAACTATATTATTTTAATCATGATTGTGTTGATACCCTAATTCAACTATGGTCTAACCATTGAAGCTTGAGTTATAGCCTCAATTAGTTCAATGATCAATGTGATTTTCAGTATTGTATTTTTGACCTATGTGTTTAAACCTAAAAAGTATGTAATATTTAGGTTGTTTAATAATTTTATGAAAATTAAAGTAATTTATTATTTAGAAACTTTACAAAATGAAAAAAATTTATATTTGGTTATTTCAAAATCTACTGAAAATAGTTTATCAAAATAATTAGAAAACTAACTTTTAAAGCCTGATTATTTTTAAAACCTCAAATAAACATCCTAAAATTATTCAAAAGTATGTTTTTCACAGGAAAAAATACGTAATCTTCAAATTAAAAAAAAAAAACTGCAACAATCAAGCCATGAATTCAGATTAGTCAAGTATAAAAATACTCGAATAAACAAGAGGAGGAAGGGAAAAACAATGATACCTGAATATCAAAAGGGCCCAAGAAAGGCAAGAAATCTGCAATATTGAAAGCTCCCGCCAAGCTGAGCGTCTCTTGGACGATTCCCTTAACATCAAACCTATCGTCTCTCTTGCGCCCCAATATCATTCTGTAGATCATGCCCTCTATAACCTCCCCCACCTTCTCACTCACATCCACCACCTCACGCGCCGCCGCCGATTTTTTTATCGACTCCACCGCGTCTCTTAGCTCCTCCCTTCTTATGGGACCAAACATCTCCACTTTGGACGCGCTCAGAAGCTGCAGAGTGCAGAGCTTCCTCACGCTGCGCCAGTAGGGACCATATTCTCTGAAAGCCATTCCCTTGGAGCCATAGGACAGGGACTCAGAAGCCCGAGTTCTCGGACGGCTCGAGAAAACGACATCGTGCGTCTTGAGGACAAGCTCGGCGGCTTCAGGGGATGAGATCACAACAGCAGGGACCTGTCCTAGTCGTAAGGACATGACGGGACCGTATCGTTTGGCAAGAGATTGAAGGGATCGGTGGGGGAGGGTGCCCAGCAGGTGGAGGTTGCCGATCACCGGCCAGGCCGGTGGACCTGGAGGTTGTTTTCGGCCATCCGTAGCTGGTTTCAGGTGAGATAGTAGTAGCAGAAATGACGATGAAAGAGTAAAGACAAGTGCGGCGAGAAGGAGAAGAGGATGAAAATAAGGTAACCATGGTAAAGACATGTTGGGATGAGAAAGAGAAAGGAATTGATGGACAAGGCTACGAGGAGGGGTTGTATATATAACGTTTTGTTTGATGGCAGTTAATTCTTGAGGTTTCGTTTGGATGGTATGAGGTTTACATTTGAATTTGAATTAAATTCTGAGCATATAAAAGTCTTTGAAAATACAAATAATATTTTATTATTATTATTATTTTATTTTAAATTCTCTTTAAACTCTAATTATTTTAAATTTTGTATACCCTAAATCTTTTCATTTTCTTCACATTTTTATTATAAGTGTCTTTGTTAATTTCATCACTCTTCTCATTTCTCGTTCTTGTCTCTCATTAAGTGAAGAATAAAAATAAATTAGTCACTCTCAATCTTCCATTTCTATTTTGAATTTCAGTTTGTCTCTATTTTACCTTTAAATTTTTTTATACAATCCAAACAAGTAAATACATGTATTCTAAATATGATATTTTAAATCTAAAATTTAAATTCAAATTTCACACCAGTACCTAAATGCATGAGTCAAGATTCAATACGTGGAGTTTGAAGGACCATGCGTATCGGCACAGCCCTGGCCGCGATCACAGCAGTTCACAGTAGCGGATCCAGACACCAATGATGTCGGGGGCTGAAACTTAAAATGGTTAAAATTGGTGGCTAAAATTTATTTTAACAATTTTCATAAAACAAATCATCGTGAGATATCTTTACAATTAAATCATGGGGTGATCACCTTTCTTGTCCCTTGAATCCGTCTCTTTTTATAATTAAGATATTTCTACTTATTTTTTCAAAATTTGATAAAGACAGTCAAGTCATAATTTGGCTTGAAAATGAAAAATTGGAGAATTACATATAAATCTTAAATAAGAGAACTAGTGCAAGTAAATATAGAAGTTTGATTTATAAATGGATTTAATAAAATAATTAATTTCTTTATTTGAGACTGATCGTAATTCTCCCAGAAAAAATTCTCTACTTTGTCTATATTCAAAATTAATTTAAAATCATAACATTCAAAATTGATCATGATGGACAAAGAGAACAACAATACATTCAAAGCGCCAAGGAAGAAAATTAAATAATTAATTGCATCAGACTTATTTTTTAAAATATAGGCAATTTGAAAAAATACAATAAATTAGTAACACATCTAGTGACTTAAAAAAGAATCATCTACTCCTTTTGAAAAGTGCCATATAATAATAACTAGAGAGTGTAATTGACTAGCTCATTTATTGTGATTAATATTTTTTGATACATTAATAATTTAATATTCCATCGCTATATATAGTTTTAAAGAGCGACATTTTTTGGCCAACTCAAGCAAAACTTCTACAATGGCAATTTTAGAACTTTGAATGCTACTGCAACTTCCCTTATATATTCTCTACATTCCCTTACACACAACGCTTTACAATTTTTTTTTAAAAAACATAATTATAAAAATAATCGACCATAAGTAAGAGATTAGTTGGATTTTGGATGAATAATAAATGATAATGAATGGTGAGTTGGGTGAGGTTAAACAATTGATTATGATTGGTAGAAGAAATAAATGAAGTGTGGGACCCATTGATAAAAACTGGGGAGAATAACAATTAAGTTTCAAAGAAATGAATTAATAACAGTCAGGTCTTCAATAAAATTTTATACAAAATAAATTATAAATATAAATTCAAACAGTTAAAATAAAAATTTTTGTTACAATCTAAAAATTATATTTAAATATTTAATATTTAAATATTTATTTATAATTAAAACTCCTGAATTTATAATAATTTAGATCGATATTTTTAACTTATTTTTCAAAAAATTTGTCAGGAACTTAACTAATATTAATTTAGTATTTTGAGATTTAACTGTCATTCTTCCTAAAAATTGGTTCAATTGTATTAGTGGTGGGTCTCACTTTTACTTTTTGTAAATTTTTTTTTAAGAGTGGAATTTTTTAAATTTTTATATAGGATACTTATGTATAATGTTTAAGTTTTGTAAGAAGAATATATATACATATATATATATATATAAATATTGTCAAAAAAATAATATATTTATAAATCGAAACACAATATTGTACGGAAAGATGAAGCGTGTCCATGTTTTCTAATGCTACAATCTCATGAAGCCTCGTAGGATTTGAATTTTGAAAATGAATATAAAATCTTAATTGCAAGTTAGTTTTGTGGCTGAGCAAAAATTGGGGAAAATGTTGTATAATCAATTAAAAAAATTGCATTAAGAGAAATTTTTAGATAAACTACCAAGTCATAATTCTGGGAGGCATGCTTTAATTTATCTTATTAAAAATAAAAAATACCCCGGCCTCTTAAAATTTATATTAACGATTTAAATAAACTTATTCATTTATTTATTTTAAGTAAAATATAAATTTATAACTATTAATGTGCGTTTCAAGGATTAAAATGATATAGGCACTTGGTTAGTATTTGTACTAAATACAGTAACCAAATTTAAAACCCTTTTTCTTTGCCAGACTCCCACCCTCCTCCATCGGCCATCGGCACCTTGTCTCCCCATTTACTTCTCAGGCGCCGGTACTGCCCTTAATACTTCCTTCATCCACAGCGATAGTTATGGCGTCCTCCATCTCTCCCCATTCTTCTTCATTTTGCAGTTAATCCCATTATCTTCCACATTTATCTCTCAATATCTCATTATCTCCCTTCTCATAAGTGTAACGTCTATTATTTTATAACTTTCATTTTTTTAACTGCCTTATTATCTTCCTCATTTACCTCCCAAAAATTCTTCTCCCACTTTCTTCTCACTCCCTCAACTCAGTTGAACATATACACATTCTCAATTTTGCAGTTAATTACTTTTCCTTTTCAGGCGTTGATCTGATATTTCATCTCAGTCGTTCTTTGAATCTTAGTGTCGCCCACCACCTTCAGCGTGGCTTAGAATCTCCACATTTTGCTTACTTCCCCAAGTATGTCATCATTTTTTTATCATTTTTCCTTTCCCTTCTTTTCTGATTAAACCATCCTCACATGCAGAGGGGCTTGCATGTCTTCCTGCAAATATGATAAGTGCCCAACTGATGAAGGTTGCTGATCACCGGCCCGGCCGGTGGACCTGGCGGTTGTTTCCGCCTTTCCGGCCATCCCTAACTGGTTTCAGATGAGATAGTAGTAGCAGGAGTGACGATGAGAGGGTAAAGACAAGTGCAGCGAGAAGGAGAGGATGGAAATTAGGTAACAATGGTAGAGGCATGCTGGGTTGAGAAAGAGAAAGGAAGTGATGGACAAGGGTTACGAAGAGGAATTGTATGTACTGGTGGTTTTATTTATAAAACGCTTTCAATATATTTTATTAAAATTAAAAAAATTTTAAAATTTATTAATTTTGTTTAAAATTGAATAATTTTTTAATTTTATTCTTATTAAATATATATATTTTAATAATATTTTTTCCTTTTCAATATTCAATGGAGATTAAAACAAAAAATTTGTGATAAAAATTCAATGAGGTAACTTATAAATAAGACAAAAAAAAAAACTTTAGCTCCCTACCCTATAAATAAAATCAAAAAGAGTATCACGCTTAGTTTGATGATAAGTAATTGTTTAGTTAGGTTTTGGATTCGGAATTATATTTGAACTTAATACTTTTGAATATATCAAAATATTTAGAAATTAAAATTCATGTTTTATTATAATTTTTTGCAATTTATAATTTTTTATAGACCTAATTATTTGAAATTCCACATGTATCAATCATTTCATTTAATTTTATTCACATTTTCACTATCAGTGTCTTGATTAATCTCGTCACTTCTCTCTCTCTGGTTTTTTTTTTTGTTCTCATTTCTCACTGATTAGTTAAGCTTGTTATTTCTAATTTTTCATTTTTATTTTGAATCTCATCTTACTTTTCTTTTACTATTAAAATTTTTTATACAATCCAGATAAAGAATTATAAATACATGAATTTAAATATGCTATTTTATAATTTAAAATTCATCAAACTAGTTGCTATTTAAATTCCTGAATCAAGATTCAATACAAGGAGGGAGGGACCATGCGCATCAGCAGGCATTTGGATTAGTGACGAGCACTGAGTATGCTCATCAAGAATGGCCAAATTTTGGCCTTTCATTTCACTTTGAAATGACATCTATTGTTCATTTTAAATTAACTTTTAAATATTTTAAATATTTTATTTATTAGTATAAAAATAATAAAAATATGACATTAAATTTGAATTATTTAAAGTACATCTAGATGATATATAAAAATTATAAAAACTTTTAAATTAAGTTGAATAATTTTAATTATATTTAAACTGTCCAAAGTAAATCTAGATGGTCAAATTATAAAAAGTATGAAAATTTTAATATTAAATTGGACTTAAATTGAACTTTCCAAATTAAATCTATATTGGTCAAATTAGTAATAAATAGATTGATTGAATTTTTTATTTTTTTACAATTTTTTATTTTATTATATATTTATTAAAATATAAAATATAAAAATTTTAGTAATAAATTTACTTTATCATGAATATGAACAATATAAATTTAATCTAGACAATCAAATTTAATATAATTTGTTAAATTGACTATTCAATAGATTACATCTGAATAGTTAATTTATAAAAATTTTAAAAAATATATTAAATTAGATAATCTGTATTAATCTATATTGTTCAAATTGATGATGCTCATCACGTGATGATCACTGAAATTGAACGCATAGTGAATCCAAATACCAATGATTTTGGGGGCTGAAGCTTAAAATGATTAAAATTTGTGGCTAAACTTTATGAAAAAGTTGTCTGCTTTATCTATATTTAAAACCATAATATTCAATTCTTATTAAAAAAAAATCATAACATTGAAAATTGATCATGATGGACAGAGGGAAGAACGCTCCATCCCAAGAGGCAAGAGACCTGTTTAAATTTTAGTTGGATATAATTAATTAAATAATTAATTTTAATCATAATTAATTATGTTATAAAGTAATTTATTTGAATATT